TAAATATACTGCATGATAGTATAATAGTTTCAATAAGTCAAATAATTTCTTTTGCCTAATTATATATAGTTATTTTTAAAAAAAGACGTGTATGCTGGAATGATAATTTTAATATATCGTAGTCAATTTCATTTCTTAATTGTATCTATCAATTAATTAACGTAATTGAAGAAGATTATTCTAAGCTATATGGAATTTAGTAGTTTATGCATTGTACAACTGCATGCAAAAATATAATAGGTTTGTTTTATAATTTATTCATCTGACACCTAAGATGGATTCCAAGCGAGTCGCTTTATAGGTTATGTCAACATTTACTGCGACATATTGCAATAAAATTTATCAGATCATCAAATTGCTATTTGCTAATCGAATACTTTATTCTGAAAACTTGTTTTTATTGAATACAATATGTAAACATCGACATGCTAGTGAAAACATAAACAACCTCGAATGTTTACACTTTTGTCTACCCAAGCGAGCATGTAAATATGTGTATAAATTCTGTTTTATCGTTTCGATGTTTTTCTTTCTTATATTGCATAGTACGTGACCGAATTGCATTTCCTTCAATCCATATGGACGCAAACAACATAAATTTATCTATTTATACGATAACAATTCAAGATTTTATCGATAATATAATAACTGTGTGGTTCGAAACAGTTTATAGTAGCTTCTGATCGATGGAAATAATAAAAACAATAATTCAGTCTCACAAACAACCGTTAGAAATTGTTATAGCGACTATTTCGCTTGAAATACGATTCAAAGACTGTTTCTAAACATCTATAAAATCCGTTTCCACATATGTTTTCAATATTTCAACAATTGCAAATAGTATTCAAATATCTTATTACGAATATGGGAGAAACTGAATGAAAACAATTAAGCCACAACAAGAAGCCTTGCACAACCAGTTGTGTTCGCTTTCACTGCGTCACTTTTTCAATATTACATTATAAATAACTAACTGCCGAATACATACAGAACAGGACATTCGGAAAAATTTTGATGGCAAAAGTTTCAACAATATTACAGCATTGTAAATGATATAGCGATGTATCGATGGAAAGATAGAAATTGACAACACAAACCCCTTCTCAACAGCAATCACAACAATATTATTGTCTGGATACCCGCGTTTATTTTATGATGACACTGTTTGTTGGGAGGTGGTGGATTTCGTTGGGAAATTTTTCCAGCACACTTTCACGTTTAACGTATGAGAAATACGACAAGTGTTTGACGAAATTTACCGGGCAATCTTTAACATTCACTAAACCAGTGATCGGCATCCGCAAAAAAGTACCCCTTCCCCTGTACTTGTTCGATTCGCTTGATAGTGCGCATGCGGAGCTGGCCAGGATTGTAGCTAGTAAATATTATGGGGCCCTTGTTTACAAACAAAGACGTATAAGTATAAGTACAGTAGTCTGTCAGTATACACAGTGTAACGGAATTGGATAGAATTTTTTATGATGGATTTTAAATGGCTCAATCATGTTTTTCGCAGGTGTATTCAATTACTAGATTCAAATATAAAAATACCAGTACACTACTTAAGAAATATATATTCTCGAAAATTGTAAACGCTTTATTTCAACTTTAAACATTTGTTATTGCTTAATCCATGAAATCCACGCAAATATTTCTTACATAAAACGATCTTACAGACCCTCCTGAATACAATGATATACTTTTCGACAATATTATAATTTTCTTATTTGGTACAGAAAATTTACTGGTAATAGAAAAAGAAATTTTGTTACATGTCAACCACATTGTTTACAATAAATATCTATGTAATTCTTATGAAATTAAAAATACTTTTACCTGCATCCTATTATATTATTCACGATCATGGTACAATATGGTACAAAAATACTTCCCATCAGTTTCTTGATCATTAAACTATTATCATTTTGAATTTTATTGGTTTTAGATCATTCATATATGTATATTTACTACATAAATGATACGAATTGACTATATTCTCGTTCGAAACGTTACATTTCATCATACTTATATACAATACGTCAAAAAATTACCATTGAAGTCTTGGATCTGTCCTTTACAGTCTTCTCATCGTGTCAACCACTAGCAACAGTGTTTTTCGTGCCCCGCAACTGAAGGTTAATCTTATTTATTGCACATGTTTATAGGACAATATCAAACTAAGCATAAATACCAATAAAATATGCTATTTTTCGAAGAAATATTTATTATACATAATGGATTATAATGTAATACACTGTCCATACCTTCTAAACGAAAATATAGATGGAAATCAGACTCAATAAATTTCTTATTCTAAAGCCATTCCTTCGTCATCGTCTTTCTTATCGGGACTAGTTGTTGGCGAAGCTTGTTTAGCACTAGTCTCCTCCTGTCCTTGCTGTGTTTGCTCTTGGCCTGTCTTTGCTTCGGTTTCGAGAGCAGTGACGAACTCTTCGATATTGCCACTGGCCGCAGCATTGACAGCATCTGGTCCCAAGCCGAATTGCTGGATGACAGGTCCCGCCTGGCCTGACTGCAAAGCAGACCAGAACATTGATAGCGCCTGGGAGAACTGGGGAGACAATAGCGTGGTACACAGTTGGTCCCCTGGCGGTAAGTGCGGTCTCATTTCACGCTCCAGGCTTTCAGAAGCAGAGATCGCCGCACGGATGGCATTGGTCAACTCGGTTGCTACGCCCCTCTGCCGGACAATAAGCTGCGCTGTAGCTGGCCGAAAACAACAGACAATCCCAGAGGAACTTCCCCAACTGCCCAGCAGAGCTAGAGTCTCCGACAGCCAGGAAAAGTTAATGCGTAGAAATATATTAAACGAGAATAAAACCATGCCTCTGTCCATTGGTTTTATGACATTGATATTATAATTTCCCCACAGTCTATGCTGTGTAATTTTAGTAATATAGATCGTATCATAGGCTCTAGGACATGAAACAAATTCACAGAATATTACAATGATGAAATTTTGAAGCGTTCTTGTAACCAATATGTTATTTTGATGAATTTTTGGTGATTTTTCTAAGTTTTGATGCATTGAAGTATAGTTCACGCGAAAAATATAATATTTAATTTTACAGTGATGAATATTGGATTAAATTTCGCAAAAATTGAGCGTAGTAAAAAGAAATGGATTATAAACTTGTATTCAGCACATCAAAATTTATAAAAGTCACTTAAAATTTGTTAGTGTTATTAGCAAAGTTCTCAGGATTATTCTGAACTAAAAATAAGAAGCAATTAAGTAAACTAGAAGACATATTTAAATACTTACTACAGAAGAATAAAATATAAGTTAATAAGAATGTTAAAACAGTATTGTACAAAATATTCGCCTATATTATGCTTTGCTTTACTATACTTGTCAACCAGAAAGATGATCATTAACTGTACGTATGCACCTATTTGAGAAGATTACAAGACTGTCACAGCAATCAACAAGATTAAG